TGATAAACAGGGCACATAGACCCCTAAAATACACTTTAGATCAATATTAGAACACATTTTGTTATTTTATTAACATTTCATTGTGTAGTCTCATACCCTATGCTACAATAAGTATTGGTGTCAAAGTGCCTTTTAGCCTACTTCGTCAAAATATTTTAATACAGCAAAGTGCCATTGCTGGTCGTATAAAATTATTATTAAAAAATCTAAAAATGCTTACTGATTCATACATGTAATGAAATGATTACCTGAGAAAGTAGCTAAATAATGACTGGTACTCTTCACAGTTCAGAATGCAAATGTCAGAGTATTCCAGTTTTCCATTTAAATTTCAAGGGAATTTTTCATATGCCATAAAGTCATGAAGTGACAGTGCAAACACACAAGGTATATTACTATTCACGCTTGTATTTGAAAATAAACAAACAATACATTTCAATTCTTATTTTAATTTTTCCTATTGTTACAGTTCAAGATCCACAATTTGTTTAGGGAATTTTGAATATTAAATGTAATGAAACATTGTCAACAGCATATTTGAGAAATGACGTCTTTTATATAAATTTTAATGAAATATAATTTTTATTTTATTAAAATAAAAAATACAAAATAATTTTAAAAAAATCTACTTTTATCGGTTAGCCTATACAGTTAGAATGGTCTGTATAATAAATAATAAAGAAACCTTTTTATATGTAACATCAGAACTAGTAAGGAGACTGGTCAGTGTGTTGTGTTATCAACTGATGGCAAACTGTGTTTTTTTCTCTTTGTTCTCAGTGCCTGACACATGTTCAGGCAAATCCATATGCATCAGAAGTCAGTGTTCCACATCTTATTAAGAACCTTAGAGTTTGTTAGATGAACAAGTGAGCCTGATTGCCTTCAAGTACAAATGAAAAACTGCTTCATCATGCCTTGCTTTCCGAATAATGAATAAATCACCCAGCAGTTTGAACTGGATGAAGAATGTATCGGACAAAAGCTTTAACCTGATGTCTTTTGATGAGTCCTCTGCACAATGTGACTTTGCTGCAGCCTGGAATTGAACTGCTGGTTTCGTCTGGCCAGAGGAGAACTGGCCCCCCGGCTGAGCCTGGTTTCTCCCAAGGTTTTTTCTCCATTCTGTCACTGATGGAGTTTTGGTTCCTTGCTGCTGTCGCCTCTGGTTTGCTTAGTTGGGGACACTTCATTTCCAGCGATATCGTAGACTTGATTGCACAGATACTATTTAAACTGAACTGAGCTGGATGATGACATCACTGAATTCAATGATGAACTGCCTCTAACTGAAAAATGAGTGTTTACTATTGTCACTTTGCATTATTGACACTATTTTCCCATTTAACGCTATAAAGTTGCTTTGACACAATCTGTATAGTTAAAAGTGCTATATAAATAAAGGTGACTTGACTTGACTTTTGAAATAAGAAGCCATGTTCTGGTCTGGGAACTCACTTGAGATTCTTTTCATCCTGATTTTCGTGTGCATCTGTGTGTGTGAGAGACAAACAGAGCAAATTGAGTAGTCTTTCCTCGATTGTATGATCTTATAGCTGCTATAAACAAACTATACACTGACACACATGTGTACACGCACTTGCACACATACACACACATGCAGCTGGTTTCCTTGGCAACAGCAAAAAAGGCACTAAAAATCGAATTTTGGTTACTGCTTCTCGTTTCCTCACATTCTTCATCTGCTTTTCATTCCGGATGACCTTTATGTGATTGCGCCTTGCGCAAGTGATTAAATAATCACATTTTCAGTTACAATTGGGCCTGACACCATTTACAGTGTGTATCTGTGACCTTGAGCAAAACATCTGGGTCTGATAAAGCAATGTAATCTATAGAGCAGACAGGAAAGAAATGATCACTGCATCTCCTCGCTTTATTAATCAAGGTGCACAGATTGGTTACAGAGATTGTAAGCTTACAACACTGCAATCTTAAAATCCCCATTAAAATTTAATGGAGGTTTTGTGGATTTTATTCTGTCTGCATTTTAGATATTCAAAATTTCGTCTTCCAGGAAAATGGACCAGAAGTACTGATAATGAACCTTGCGCTCAACATTTTTTGCCCAATCAAATGCTCTCTAGAATGATAAAGCCCCTCCCCCTAAAATAACTTGATGTGACAAGCAATAGCAAGTAACAAATTTTACAATTGCCAAAACAACACAATCTCACAACAATTCATAACTATTTTACATTTCGAGTGGTGATTATGTTTGGGAGTGGACCTTCATGCTTACTTTTTTTAAAGTACGATTTCTTTTATTATTTATTTATTTTGATATTTATTTTTTGAAACTTAGGAAACACATTGCCCCACCAAAATATGTGAAAGCTATCATTCGGATTTGTTTTCATTGCTCTTGCAGCTTGTGACCAATTAGCTGTAGCAGTAAAACTATTTTGCTGAAACAAAATAAAGCAAATAAAGTAATTATAGTTGGGGGGTCTTTGTCAAGCTCTGTTAATGTCTCATTAATCAGACATGGTCAAAATGCTTCTAAATGCAAAAAGCTGCCCGTGAGGATGTACTATTGATTGGAATGTTTCCTTCAAGGTGAACACAGTTTGAGGCGAATGTGACATTTTAACCATTCATCCAATCCCTTAGATCACATTAGAATCGATAGTGCTCAGTTAGCCCCCATTGACTCATTGAGAAGGGTACAAATTGCATTGTACTTGATGGCAGCAGAGCTCTGAATGCATTAACCCTGTAGCAAAAACCTCTTTCACAATGCTTCTGTCCTCACAGCCAAAGTAAAGCTGTATTTGTTGAACCTAAAGCAGAATAAAATGAGGATTTGCTTGGTCTGCACTGAAAAAGTTTTCAATATTGTGTGTTAGCTTTAATTAAAAGTAGGCCTATAGCCATTTTTGCAGTGTGAGGGTATGTTTAATATAACGTTTAGTTAAATGTCCTTTTAATTTGAATGAATACAAAGGCAAATGTGTTTCAACACTGGGTTACTAGTACGTTAAGAACTTGAAGGAAGAATGAGATGAGATGAGATGTATTATATCTGAAAACAACTGGTCCTGGTTTCTTTAGGGGTTGTGGACGGTTCATGAGACAGGTCAAGCTTAACAAGGCTCGATGGCGCCATCTTCTCTTTATAAAGAAATAATAAAATATACTACCCTTCCAAAATTTGGGGTAGGTAAGATTTTTAAAATGTTTTTGAAAGAAGTCTTTGATGTGGCTGCTCTTATCTGATCAAAAATACAATAAAACAGAAATACTGTGACATATTATAGTAATTAAAAGTAGGCCTAACTGTTTTATATTTTAATATATTAAAAAATGTAACTTATTCCTGCGATGACAAAGCTGAATTTTCAGCATAATTACTCCAGTCTTCAGTGTCACATGATCCTTCAGAAATCTATTGAATATGCTGATTTGTTGCTCAAGAAACATTTATTTCCTATTATCATCAGTGCTGAAATCAGTTGTACTGCTTTATTTATTTTGGAAACTGTGATAAATAGGACTTCTCTATCATTTCAGATTCAAATGTCGGCTATATATGCTATAAAGGAACATACTGTAGTAATTTTGTTAATTATTTATAAAAAAAAACAATAAAACAACAAATATAACAGTATAGATATGGTATACAAATATATGCAGCATATATTAAAAGTGTTTATGGCATATTCTTTACCAAAACTGGAAAAATTACTTAAAAGACGACATAAGATTTTGAAGATTATGTGACGATCAGTAAAAGTAATGCATTACAATATTGCATTACTCCCTAAAAAAGTAACTAATTACGTTACTTAGTTACTTTTTATGGAAAGTAATGCATTACATTATCTTTGCGTTACTTTCGCGCTACTTTTTAAATATAAGCAGGGCTTGATTGTTTTTAATATAAGAAGTTCTAATTATTTACTTCTGAATTGTCGCACATGAACCGTTTGCATATGCTGCGGTTAGGAAAAGTCAGCTGGTCGAGAAAAGGTGAGTGCTTAAAAAGAATGAAAATAACTTTTTGAACAAACAAAGAAGAATCGTTACATAAAATGATTATGTTGTGAATTGTGTGTATTAAAGGGGTCATAAGATGTTGCTAAAAAGAACATTATTTGGTGTATTTGGTGTAATGAAATGTGTTTATGCGGTTTAAGGTTAAAAAAACACATTATTTTCCACATACTGTACATTATTGTTTCTCCTCTATGCCCCGCCTTTCTGAAACGCAGCGAATTTTACAAAGCTCATCAGTCTGAAAAAGTGAGGTGTGCTCTGATTGGCCAGCTATCCAGTTCATTGTGATTGGCCGAATTCCTAAAGCGTGTGCCGGAAATGTTACGCCCCTTACCATACTGTGATGCCTGTGGCAACCACATGTGACGACCCCGGGCTGGACTCCGCTTCGTCCACGGTGAAAGCCGATCCGGCGATCCACAGCGCGAAGTTGATGTATTCCCTCAGCGACCAGCACGGATCAGCTCCAGGACTGACGAAGCAGATATCGTCCTCTTTTGGAAGGCCAAACAAAGTAGTTTCGCTTTCACAACGAAACACACAGCTCTTCCCGACACGGCGGCGGCGGCGGCAACAACAATACTACAGCGAGAACAAAAGGTACGCCTTCTTTCTTTGCGTGAACATTTGGGTGGCGTTATGCAAATCTTCCCACATCGTGCTGTAGACATGTGGGGGGGTGTTAGAACGAGCCGTTTTAGGTAGGTGTGGCTGACTCTTAACTTTTATAAAGAATATCTCTATGGATTTGAGACTTTAGTCTTCGCAACTTTACAGATCTTCTTTGTACACCAAGAGCTTGTACCACTCCAAAGAGAAAGGAAACACTGAAATCGCATCATATGACCCCTTTAAGGGTGCGAAGAACGCTGTCGTTTGACGAGCTAGATTTTCTACAGTACTGCGCATGTCCACTAGGCGGCGCACGGAGCAGCGCTCGCCGTCTGCATCATCTCTCTATAAACAAACCGAAACGACGCCGAGAGGTGGAGCCGCAGCGCCGACAACTGTCAAAAGACCCTTCCTGATAAGACAAGCCCTTCCGTCCTCAAAGCATCTCGTCGTAGCGCGCTCGAATCCGTTATAAACCACATAACTGAAGCGAGTATTCCGTATCTCGTGAGTGTACGAAGTCTCGGTCGCTATTCCGTTATTGCGGAGCGGCTTCGGGTGAGCGGGTTTTGACAGACTGCATGTCTTCCTGGAGACCTACTGAGAAGGTGAGACGACCACGACCGTGTATGAACGCTAACTTACAGTTTCAAAAGCATCGTTGCGTGCTTTTTGGACTAGTCAACGAATGCCATACTGTTACGTGATGTAGAAATGATGCGGCGCGAGCGCGCTACTGTATAAGTTCTAAGCTAAACGTATTTCCACCATAGACTGCAAAGGCTGCAGAGCTACATAATGTGTAAGTTAGTTGTATTCTCATTTGCGTAGTCTGTTCGTGATTATTCATCACAAAACTATGTGCTGTTCAGTCCAAGAAAACATTTAATTTGCATCCACGTCAGGAAGGAAACAAAATGACCCAGTTTTATAACAAGAAACGTTTATTTGTGGTTCAAATTGGCGCAAATATCAAGAGAACCGCCAAAGTCTCGTAAAGTAAGAATGGAAACTCGCTTCTGTGAACTCCTGATCATTACCACAGTATATAACGGGATGGTTGTTGCTTGTGGTTGCATTGGGTATTCATGTTAGTTCATATTTGGAAGAGAAAAAAAAACATAAATCTATTATACATTGTACATATATTGAACATCTTAAGTGTAAAATGTTTTCATTTAACCTTGAAAAAAAAGTGTACAAACAATAATAAAGTGTACAAAATAATAATACAGAATATATATATGAAGAGTTTATTTGCCAAAATGTTTTTTCATTGTGCATTCCAATTAATCTCAATCAAACTGTTTGGGTTATTTATTTTGATTAGGTTAAAAAATAACAAAAATTACAGCTAACTAACACAATAAAAAAACATGATTTATCTGTTTTTATATATATATATATATATATATATATATATATAATTTTTTACAAATAATTAATAATAGTTTTAATTAATAATTAATATTTAATTAATAATAGAAAAGTTGTATTCAAATTGTGTTTTGAATCATTTGCAAATATTACATGAAGAGAGAAGAGTAAAAATATATTTACAGGTTCCCCAGTTAACAGAAAACATGTTAATCATGTAATAAAAAAGATCAAGAAATAAATGAGATGATGGATTTAATGAACACAGCTGAGCTGCCGAGACAACGCTGTCAGTTTAAAAAAGCTGTTATTCAGGCTTATTAGCTGAAGATGGGGGTTTAGTTTTAAACGCACTGGACATGTTGCATCAAACAGCCTCTAAAGTCGGCGTGAATAATACTTCAGTTCTCAATCAATAGTTTCTATTTTGCGTCACTGAAAGCCTCTGTGGCTCATTTGAAGTGTATAGGTTCTTGCAGAGATACTGATACTTTCAGATTGACGTATCTCGTGTCTCATCTTAGAGTTTTCCCCCCAGCATTGACCATTGAGTAGTTTGTAAATGTTGCAGGCATGTTTTTAATGCTGCGTGAGAGTATTAGCTCAATCAGGCTTGAGGATTTGTAGGGAAAAAAGAATAGGTGCTTTCATTACGAATCATGAATGCTGTATTAAAACAAATAGGCGACAGGAGCACCGAATGAGTGTTTGTATTTCTCCATCTGCACAGAAAGGTGGATTCCTAGCTAATTAAAGTGTAAAGTGCAGTCTGTTGTTGAGATTATCCAACTAAAGGGACTTATTGTAACTGACTGAAGGGGAACTGGCGGTCCATGGCCTGAGAATTTGCTCCACGTGTTCTCCTTCACATAATCTGCTGCGAAAAGCTTCGTCACCCTGCACGGGAGGAGCCTGCTGTTTGAGATTAGGAATTACACAAAGATCAGTATCACACTACACTTTGTGACTGCAATGACGAGCTGTGGAGATCGCCTTATTAAGTGTCACATTTATTGTGATGTTTCTCATCTTGGTGATCTTGGTTTCCTGTGAGCAGTGAGTCTGCATTAACACTGCATTTAATGCGCATGGTCCCTATATAGGGACCTAAACACAGTATGAGCAGTAGTACTAGTCATAGTGATGTTTGGTTTATCAGTCACCACTAATAAGTTAAAGTACTTTCTACACAATGTATATGTGTTCTGCAGAGATGTCAAGGCGAAGCACAAGGTTAGTGCCCAAAGGGCCGTCCTCCTTCCCTGATGATGACGCTGCCAGCACGAGCTCCACTGGATCCACCGGTCACATCTCTTATAAAGAGAGCCCAACCAGGTGTGTTTGTATTTGCAGGAGCTCTCAGTACACCATAAAGATAGTTTGCGTGTGCATTTTCACCTGATACAGAGGCTTTCCTGCAGGATCTTCAAGAAGAGGACCGGTCGCAAGAGCGCAGGCAGTGTTTCCCGCAATTCAAGTCGCGCAAGCAGCGTGAGTCAGACACTTTCTGGGCAGCGCAGTGAATTCACTGCCACTGAGAATGAGAATGGTTGGTATCTGCACACACAGGACCTGCAAACAAACAAACAAATGAATTAATAAATACAATTATATTTATGTTTTTAAATTGTACATTTATTATAAATAATAATATTAATTATATATTACATTACATATGAGATAAGAATATGATATATAGTATCCTATATGTGTATAGAATAATTATGTATAATGTATATATAAAAAATATTTTTGTATTTATTATTTATTATTTTATATTACAAAATGTAATTCTTTTTGTATATGCATTTCGTCTCACTGTCTCTGGGTAGCAGGCATGCGCTTTGGTACTCAAGGATTCTCCTCTGGATATTCCTCGGCTGAGGAGCGTTATGAACAATCCACAAAATCAAACCCTAGTAAGTGTGCATTACACATTTTATAAATGGGGGAAACAATCACTGGCTGGTTGGTTGGTTGGGCTGTTTTTTTTTTTATGAATGGTCAAGCAAAGAAGGTTGTAAAAGCTCTACTCTTTATTTTCCCTTTTCTCCAGGTTCTGCCCAGACTGTAGCTGAACCAGCCTTTGTCGTGTGGGACGTGTTTCACTCCCCAGGTATTAAATGGATAAACCCTCCCTTCACCTCACTAACATGAACAATCAGGCTTTTTTCCCCCTGCTATATTCATGTGCTCATGTGTGTGTCGCAGCTCAGGCTCTGGTTATGTTCTACTGGTGGCTGGGAAGTTCATGGTACAGCCTGACCTCTCGACTGTCTCTGATCAATGTGTTTCTGCTCAGCAGGTACAGTGCTCTGTGTGTGTGTGTGTGTGTGTCCTAATTACGAAATGTGTGGCCTTACGAATATGTATGATAGTTGTGTAATAATTCACTGTAACGTTCATGCACCTTAACCTTTATAAGAACCTTTTTATTGTCTAGATCAACATCAATAATTTTTTTAATTACAAAAAAACATAGCAAGCTCAAAACACTTTACCGAGTCTCACAGACTAAGCCTTAAGGAATAGAGAATAGTTGTGATTTCCAGGTCTGGAAAAGTCTTGGAAATTATTAAAAACGTAAAGGAATTAAGTGAATTAAATTAATTTCTAGATGCGCTCCGCTGTAAAATATTTTAACAGCTTCTTCTTCTTTTTTTGAAGAACATTTATATTTACACATGATCACATTTCCTCTTTCTCTCTCTTTAGATGCACAGCAGATATGAGAAAGGTTATACTTCTGGTCCTTCTTTTCATCTTTCTCATTTTTGGTGAGACAGTAGATAGTGACTCTTAAAATATCAAAAAACGAAACCTATGTATTTCAAGATAACCCACTTTGCACACAAGAACCTTTAAGACTGTATACAGTACATGTAGCTGTAAAAAATGCTTGTGCATGTTCATGCCTGAATATATGAGTAATTAACATTAATATCCAATTACCTAACATTGTGTTGCAGGAATATGGTACTGGTTCCCGTTTGCGTCTCGTTCTCCTCCTCGTGAGGTTGTTTCCAGGGCTCCATCTGTTAAACACACAGATAGACCAGTGAAAGAAGCTTTTGATGTGAGTAGATCTTCTCCAGTTCCGTTAGACCTCAAAAAGGTCCTGCATCATACATAGTTATCGCATATTTCTCTTAAATTATTTATTACTATTTTATTAAATGCACTTTTTGCTCTTTAGGATCATCTCCAACATGCCAGCCTGTCTCATTTGAAAGATGAGATCGCCAGCTTGCATGAAAGGGAGGCAAACCTGATGGTAATTCAAATCTAAGCACCATCATGTACAGTATGTCTGTCTGTTGAAGAGGAAGCGTCCCAATTTCTTTCTCTTTGTCTGTTATCTCAGAGAGACCTCGAGCTGCTGAAGATGGAGAGCGTGCGACAGAAGGTCAAATCTGAGGTGAAGAAACGAAACGTTCCTTCTTCCTTTCTACCACCTCGGTTTCTTCTGTCATAGCAACAAAACACAAAACAGGAAATGGTGTCATCCACCTACAGTAACTGTGTTTTTTTGTGCTTGTCTCCTAGATGATGCAAACTGATCTGAAGTCTATGAATGATCAAATGAGGAAGTCAGTTTTTTACTTTGATTTTGTGGACTTTGTTTAATGTTGTTTTGCATGTTGCATCATTATTTCATCCGGTGATGAAATATGTTTAATATTCAATAGTGCTGAGGCTGAACACGAGCAGCAGATTTCTAATCTGAAGTCCAGCATCTCAAACCTTCAGTCGGCCCAAGGTCTCCTCAAGGAAAGAGTTGATGCACAAGACGCTCTCAACAACAACGTAAGGATGCTTTTAGCACATTATAGCGAATTCCTTTGATGTGATGATTGCGATTACTTATTATTCAACTAGTGATGTCATTTCCTCTGCAGCTGAGAGCAGAGCTCTCCGATTGGCTAATAAAACACCTGAAAGATCCAAGCTCATTGGAGTCAACCATAGTGCTCCGTCCTGAGCTGCAGAGGGCGCTGGAGGATCTGGAGAAACGGATACTAGACAAGCTAGTGCATGAGAAAGAGAGCAGCAGAGATGTCTGGAGGGCCGTGGGAGAAACACTGCAACAGGAAGGAGTCGGAGCCGCCACTATACAAGTGTGTGTCTGTGTGTGCTGGGATGCCAAAAGAAAAGAGTGTTTCTGTCAGGACCACTATCGTCAAAATGATAGATACTTAGCATAAAGTTTGGTTTGGCGGTATGGTTCTGTTCTGGGCAAAAAACTCCCTGCCCATCCATGCAGCCTGTCATGAACGAGCAGGTAGAGCAGCAATAATAAATAGAACAAGGCAGATATCATTAATGTACTTTATATTTTAAGTGTAACACTTTATTCAAGATAAAGGAGTCTGATTAGCAAGGAATATCAGAAAGCCACGTCCTGACTGTGGCGAAAGGAGGAGCTGGGGATGGAGGAGGGTCATTTGCTCCTGAGCAAGCTGAAAAGCTGCAGAATAATACTGAATAGAGCTTATATAGGAATTTATATAAGGTAGATAGGTGCCGCGATAGGTGTCGTATTCCTATAGGTAGATGTGATCAGCTGAGAATCAGCTGATGCAAGCTTGACTCACGTGACCTGCCAGAACTAACGCTAACGCTTCATTTTTGAGTTTTAGTCTTAGTTTAAAGTTGAATTCATGATGCCTTTTAGTGAGAATTTTTGTATGTGTAACAGGATGTGAAAGAAATCGTCCACAGGGCAATTAGTCTGTACAGGGCAGATGGGATTGGAATGGCGGACTATGCCTTGGAATCTTCTGGTACTAATTTCCTTTGTTTATTAAGTGTGTGTGTGTGTGTGTGTGTGTGTGTATCACAGGAATAAATAACATTTCAAAATATATTCAAAAACAGAAAACAGTTATTTTAAACTGTGTTAATATTACACAATATGAAAATTTTACTGTATTTTTGATCAAATGAATGCAGCCTTGGTGAACATAAGAGACTTCTGTATATATGTGACTTTACTGGACACACGACTAAGTGTGTGTGTTTGTGTAGGTGCCAGTGTGCTCAACACTCGTTGCTCGGAGACGTATAAGACCAGATCTGCGTGTCTGAGTGTATTCGGCATTCCTCTGTGGTATCATTCAGAAAGCCCTCGGACTGTTATACAGGTAACAAATCGCACAAACACTGTCACATAGACACTGATCTGACTCTCTAAGCTTCCGTGTGTGTGTTGTAGCCGGAGCTGTATCCCGGGAAGTGTTGGGCATTCCGAGGCTCCCAGGGTTTCCTGGTAATCTCACTGTCTTACCCAGTAAGAATCACCCATGTGACACTCGAACACCTTCCCAAAGAGCTCTCGCCGACAGGCCGCGTTGACAGTGCGCCTAAGGATTTTGCTGTCTATGTGAGTTGATATTTCAATGGTTTTTTTTCTTACTGCGTAATAATGATAAAACAACAGCTTTGAGATTCCTCGCTTGTTCTGTGTTCAGGGTATGTCTAATGAGACTGAAGACGGAAAGTTGCTCGGGAAATTCACATATGACCAGGATGGAGAGCCCATTCAGACTTTCAAGCTTCCGGTGAGTCAAAATAGACAATTTCATCAAGTATCATCATCATATCATGGTAGTATATGTAGTATTCCTGTATTTAATAAATACATTACTGTTTAGAAGTTTGGAAACTTTAAGATGTTTTTTTTCCCCCAAAAATGCAATAATACAGTAATATTGTGAAATATTATTTTAGTTAAAATAGAAATTTCTTGTGGTGCTTAATACAGTCGTGATGCTTAATAATTATTTTGTGTAAACCGTGATACATTTTTTAGGGTTCTTTAAAGAATAAAAAGTTTAAAAGAACAGCATTTATTTGGAACAGAAATAATTCATAACATTATAAATGCCTTCATTATCACTATTGATCAATTTAATGCATCCTTGTTGAATAAAAGTATGAATCTTCTATGTATTTTATATATACAAATAAATAAATTATATATTTAGGCTCCCAGGGTTTCCTGGTAATCTCACTGTCTTACCCAGTAAGAATCACCCATGTGACACTCGAACACCTTCCCAAAGAGCTCTCGCCGACAGGCCGCGTTGACAGTGCGCCTAAGGATTTTGCTGTCTATGTGAGTTGATATTTCAATGGTTTTTTTTCTTACTGCGTAATAATGATAAAACAACAGCTTTGAGATTCCTCGCTTGTTCTGTGTTCAGGGTATGTCTAATGAGACTGAAGACGGAAAGTTGCTCGGGAAATTCACATATGACCAGGATGGAGAGCCCATTCAGACTTTCAAGCTTCCGGTGAGTCAAAATAGACAATTTCATCAAGTATCATCATCATATCATGGTAGTATATGTAGTATTCCTGTATTTAATAAATACATTACTGTTTAGAAGTTTGGAAACTTTAAGATGTTTTTTTTCCCCCAAAAATGCAATAATACAGTAATATTGTGAAATATTATTTTAGTTAAAATAGAAATTTCTTGTGGTGCTTAATACAGTCGTGGTGCTTAATAATTATTTTGTGTAAACCGTGATACATTTTTTAGGGTTCTTTAAAGAATAGAAAGTTTAAAAGAACAGCATTTATTTGGAACAGAAATAATTCATAACATTATAAATGCCTTCATTATCACTTTTGATCAATTTAATGCATCCTTGTTGAATAAAAGTATGAATCTTCTATGTATTTTATATATACAAATAAATAAATTATATATTTATATAAAAATACATATGCATTTTTGGCATACCTAGGTATGACCTAGATATGATTTTGTGAAATTGATCCTAAAATTCGAATTCAATTCTTCCTGTTTTCTCGGCTACAGGAAGCGTTAGACGTCTACAGCATGACAGAGCTGAGGATCTTGAGTAACTGGGGTCATCTGGAATACACCTGTGTGTATCGCTTCAGAGTTCACGGAGAACCTTCACTCGCCTGAGAGGAAAGGATTCGGCCTCTTCAGCTTTGGTTTACTCTATGCAAAAAAAAAAAAAAAAAATGTAAAGCTCAAATGCACTGAACTCTTAAAGAATTATTCAGACAGCTTCCTAATGTACGAATACCAAAAAAACGCACATGAATGTTCCGACTGATACCAGAATTTAGATTCAAAAAAATATTTTAGTTTGCATTCCTCAAACATTGATATTCAAGTGCTGATAGGACATTTTTTTTAAATGAAAAGATGTACATTTTTGGTTGTTTACACCGTTTTGAATGGACAGTTGTAATTTTTTTTTTCATATGAAGGACAGGCTTATATTGTGTGTGACAGTAAATATGCTTTTAATAAGCCAAATGAAGGACAAAAAGTGTCATGCTTAGCTAGAATTACCATAAAGCAGCATTTGTGTTATTTTGCTCTGCCTTTTGCAATAGTTTTATCTTCAATATTGTGTTATGTAATAATAGATGGTTCTAAAAATGTGTTTATTCACATCATCATTGAACCATATACCTCTTAAGAAGCTTATAATAGTTGATTGTTTTTGATATGTCCATATGTAACAATGCTGTTTTCTTTGAGCAGCTCTGGATGATGAGTATAGATGGGTACTAGAAATGTCAGATGGTGTACGTCTCCTCTGCGGGACGGGGGAGGACTGGAGTCAAACTCAGGTTTTGGGTTTTCAAACCAAAGTGCTCTTGAGCATCCCAGATTATATAATTCTCTTGTCCTCTTATTTGTATGCATGTGCTTAATGATGCCGTTTTTGCAGTGTGTTCTCAAATGCACACTTGTGAGGTATAAATATTTGATTTGTCCTATTTGATTTATTATTATTTTATTTTGACATCCTTCTACATTTCTCATCTAGCTAAATTGAGCTCTGATGTTAATTTGACAAGTTTACATGAAGTTTCTGTCATATTATTTGATACTATTTTGTGAGAAATATGATTTTTTTTAAATAAATTTGAGATGGTACATGATATGGTGTGAATGCAAATATTAATGCATGAGGTTTTTTCATGCAGAGACATTTTCATGCAGATTTGCATGTATAGCACTGCACTGATCTTTCTATGTGTCATTTAATAACTCATGGCTAAACTTTATTCAAATCATTTGCATGGTTTTATACGCTGGCAATTCAGCAACATATATTTTAGACCTGGATCAATTTTAATTTGACTTCAAATTCAACCTGCCATGCCCTTTTTTTTTTCTTTTTACATGCAAAAAAACACTTTTTTCATATGCATGCGAGACGTGACACATACACATTATCTTAATCACATGCAGCTGTATATATTATGAAATTAAAAGGGTGGTAATATTTTTTTACCCACACTTTTCAGTTGTTTTGCCTCTGCATTCCCTTGTGTGGACACATCTATACATATCCAAAACAATGAGAGGAATCCAGTTTCATTTATCTTTGGCTGACCAGAGAATTTCAGCACACCCTCATAAATGCTTTGTTTTGAGAGGCCGACACTTCACTACACAACACTGCCAGAATTCATTTGCTTTGCTGATTTAGAAATTAAATTGTTCAACCTACTTTTCATGAGGGTCTTGATTTCTGCAGCTCTAAAAGGTGGGAGCTAAAGCAGTGGTTATTATAGACATCTCCAAAATAACACCAATTTCAGTTCTTGGAGTTTTATCTAGTAAACTGAATCAGAACCACTTGTTGGAAACCACTGAGCTAAGGCCATGTCCACACGTACACGGGTATTCTTATAAACTGAGTTTTTCCTTCCGTTTAAAAAAAAAATCTCCGTCCACATGAAAACGCAAACACATGCAATGAAGCACTGTCAAGAGCATGCCAAACCAACAGGTGGCGATATAATCTCAACCGTAAAGCCATGTTGGCCAATCACAAGCCTGAAAAAGTCTCCAGTAGGCGGAGATAACAGCGCAGGCGCCGAAGTCACAAGCCCTTCAGTCACAATCTTCACCCTGGCAGGTGTTTTCAAAAATGTTCGGTTTCAGTAACCTGATGCTGCGTTTGTGTGTGGACGAATGGCCTAACCGCGTAGAAAAAGCTGCGGTTTTAAAAATAACCGCGTTCGTGTGGACAGGGCCGTAAAGGAACTATTTTTGAAAATAGGCTCATTTTCCAACTCCCCTAGAGTTAAAACAGTTGAGTTTTACCGTTTTCGAATCCATTCAGCCGATCTCCGGGTCTGGCGGCAGCACTTTTAGCTGTAGCTTAGCATAGATCATTGAATCTGATTAGACCGTTAGCATCTCACTCAAGAATGACCAAAGAGTTTCTATATTTTTCCTATTTAAAAATGGACTCTTATTTAAATCAAGGAACTTTGCTGCCGTACCATGGGTGCAGCAGGCTCACTGATATTACGCAGCGCCTCAAAATAGGCTAACTTCCATCAACATAAGATTAACCAACGTGACCACCTGCTTGCACAGGGAGCGTGCTGGGGACTATTTTCAGGCGCTGCGTAATATCAGTGAGCCTGCTGCACCCATGGTACGGCAGCAAAGTTCCTTGATTTAAATAGGAAAAATATCTAAACTCTTTGGTCATTTTTCAGCGAGATGCTAACGGTCTAATCAGATTCAATGATCTATGCTAAGCTACAGCTAAAAGTGCTACCGCCAGACCCGGAGATCGGCTGAATGGATTCGAAAACGGTAAAACTCAACTGTTTAACTCTAGGGGAGTTGGAAAATGAACCTATTTTCAGAAATAGTGGAGTGTTCCTTTAAACTACCCACGCTGATCCTCAATTCATTCGCAAACGCATTGTTTTATTTATTTTTCTAACAATTTTATTTCCGTAACAAGTAAAACAGAAAGCAAAAAAACTAAATAAATTAGGTGTTCTAATAAATACAGTATGGTAGACAAAACAAAAACAGTAAGATGTTTAAATTGTCTTACAGTATAGACTACCGTGATAGTGCATCAAAGAAAAGAAAGAGAAATATATTCTACATTATAAAAACAGAGGAAAATGACAAATGAGAATGGTACAGCTATTACAATCACACTATAAAACTACAATGTCTTACATAAAATTCACCTATTTTACATTCATTATTTACAGTTACAGCGGGAAATCACAGAACTCTCCATAGGCTATAAAATGTTTCTTTGATAATTCCACACAACACACATCAGTGATTTCAACGGGACACGCTCATTCTGAGAGTTCAAAAACACACACACACACACACACACACACACTTGTGTCTTTCCGATGTGTACAAAACGTCAAAAACACACACACAAGATACTCCCATATGGAATGCTGTGCACAGAAATTCATTTGACCTGTTGTATCGCTGGCAAACTGGCCAAATATCACATGCACACACTCAAACTCTACTCAAAGTGAAAAAAACTCATTTACAGGTATCTGATATGTCTTAAAAAGTCACAAATACAGGTGATTTATTAGAGGTGAAGATCAATTATGTAGGTTTTTCACCTAAAAACAAAACTAAAATTTATTCTGGAGTGTTTAAAAAGACAGAATAATGTTTAACAGCAGATTACATATATATGCTCACGCAAGTTCAAAGTGAAAAACCTCATTTGATGACTTTGATGTGCGTAAAAAACACAAAATACTTAAGGGTAAACTATGAAGGGTGAACATACTAGGTTAAAAAAGGAAAACTAGAAGTTTTAAAAAATGACAAGGCACATTGAAGCCAGGCATACTGTTTCTCCAAACATGTCTGTCAGAGCAAGTTGAACAGCAGATGCTTCTCAACAGATGGTTTGTACTAACAGCATCATCAATGGTCTGGTTTCGCAGCTCCATCAGATGAAGATGAAGAGGAAGGCTGTTCAGTGCACTCTAATCACGCCACCAGTCACAGTGCATTTTGGTCACTCTCCGTGGTTCCCAACTTGAATATTCCCCCTTCGCTGGAGGGAGTCGACTGTGCAAAATGCATTTCAAACTACTGACATCTGAACTTATGCTGAAGTGGAACATTATGAATGTCTGCTATCTGCTGTACTTTATGATCAACATTCACTTGCACTGATGCTAATACTTTCATTAAAGAGTACATCTGATTGTGCATTACAAAGTGACGACCTTACATTAAAAAGTTGGGTAGATGTAATATTTGGTGACAAGTAACATGAGGAAACGATTTAAGAAATGTTCTGTTTGTCTCCTACTGGAGTGATCATAACTATCTACATTTCATTGAGAAAGCAAGTGAATTTGTTACACAATATAAATATATTTAAAAGATGTGACGCATCTTGAAAAGCAAGAACAGAAGATGTATTGATATGAAAATAGGGATAAAATACCCTGTAAAGTGTTAAAATAACAAAAGATGCTTGCTATGCAGAAGCGTTTTACATAAATGTACATATATATATATATAAAATGTCATATTGTTTCAATGGATTGACATCATAGATTACATATTTTGGGGCTTATATAACTCACTTTTAGTTCAAATATGTTTATATATATATATATAAAAAAAATTGTTTAAATGAGATACAGTTATCTGGAATACAGTATTGAATTGTCAGTCAGCGTACATTTGGCATGTGGATTTCTGACATCAAGAGCGTAGCGGCTCGATCAGGAGTGACCCCGTGACCTCCGGCGATGTTTTACTCTCTCATAGCACAGCAGAAGTAACAGTTAAGGTAGATTTAAAAACCTAAAACCTAGCCAAAGCAATTCCAACGCAAAATACGACACCTCAAACATGTCTTAAAACGATCATCTTTCTTATAGAAGGAATATGATAACTACTCTTACTCCCTGCCTTTCAAACCCGGTGTCTGGCATCCAGCAGCTGCAGTTTGGCTGGCCGTGTGAAGCCATCGGGGAGCACGGGGGGACTAAGACGTGAGTGCAGCCGTGAGAAGGGGGAAATGTTTGATTGACAGCCCGCTGACCCCTTCTCCTCAGTAGTTGCGTGCAGAAGAGTGACCAGGTGAGGGAGGCGAGGTTAGAGGAGGGGTTTAAAGTTGAGAGTCCGCCCCCAGGCTGTTGAGCTCCTCGGGCGAGTGCTTCTCAGCACCTGACGCTGCCTGGCGGAAACCGGCGGAGATTTCATCGAATGTCCGGCCCTTGGTCTCTGGGACTTTGAAGTAGG